ACTTTATCAAATGCCTTACTGAAGTCAAAGTAAATTATATCCACAGCATTCCTCTGCTCTACTAATTTTGTCACCTGGTCAAATAATGCGATAAGATTTGTCTGGCATGATCTGTTTTTGACAAACTCATGTTGACTTTTGGTTATGACTTTGTTTGCCTATAAATGTTCACTGATTCATTGCTTGATTATCTTTTCCAGAATCTTCCCAGGTATTGAGGTCAGACTGATAGGTCTGTACTCCATTTTTTTTTCCTTTTTTGAGGATGAGAACTACATCAACTTTTTTCCAGTCCTCTGGTAGTTCTCCAGTGCTCCAGGATCTTTGAAAGATATAGTTCAGTAGTACTGAGATCACGTCTGCCAGTTCCTTCAGAACCTTGGAGTGCAATCCATCTGGTCCTGGTGATTTGAACTTGTCTAGGCTGGACAGGTGCTCACTTACCATTTTCTTGCCTATTTTGACTTGTATTCCTAATCTGTTTTTTACGGTACTATTTTTGATAAATTGGACTTTTTTCCTTTTGTGTAAAGACAGATGCAAAAAACAAGTTAAGCAGTTCTGCTTTCTCCTTGTTGCTTGTCACATTCTTGCCACATTCTCCAATTAATGGATCAATTCTTTTCTTGACTTTTTTCTTGTTTTTTACATGTTGAAAGAAGCTTTTTTATTATTTTTGACTTTTGTCACAAACCTTAGTGCATGTTGAGCCTTAGCTTTCCTCACTTCATCTTTGCAGGCTCTGGCTATTTGCTGATATTCTGTCTTAGTTATGTGCCCCTCATTCCACTTTTTATACTTGTCCTTTTTATCTTTCAATTTATCAGAGAGTTCTTTATGCAGCCATGCTGCTTTCTTTTGAGACCTGATATTTTTCTTTTTCTTTGGTATTATACTAGACTGGGATTTTATAATCTCACTTTTCAAAGTTTCCCAAGCTTCTTGGGTTGTTTTCCCTTTGAGGATACTCATCCATGGAATCCTTCCCAAGCTCTCTCTAAGTTTATTGAAATTAGCTCTCTTAAAGTCCAAGACTCTAGTTTGACTGTGTTCTATTGCTTGTGGAGCATAATGTTGAATTCCAATATTACATTATCACTCCCTCCCTCAAGGTTCCTGTGACTTCAACACCTTCTATCATTTCATCTCTGTTATGGCTGATCCCCTAGTTCCCTTCTCTACCTTTTGGGAGACAAAGTTGTCTGCTAGGATTGTCAGGAACCTGTTTGATCTTCCACTTGATGCAGAGTTTGTCTCCCAGTTGATGTCAGGGTAGTTTAAGTCCCCCATTACTAGTGTGATGTGCTTCCCACATACCTTAGTTAACTGACTACAAAGAGTTCATCTATTTGCTCTGATTGGTTGCATATATAGTATACTATATAGTATACACCTATGGCAATATCATTTTTTCTTCTTTTATATTGACCCAAATGCATTCAAGACAGTTTTCATCATCGTTGTGCTCTATTTCTGTAGAGATGTAGTTATTTCTTATATATAGTGCAAGTCAAATTCTTATGTACCTCAAGTATGTGGTCTCCCCCCCATGCCATTATTTTATAAGCATAGGTGTAGACAAAGGAGGGTGACGGTAAGGTAATATGTAATATTTTGATATTCAGTTTTATATCAGCTTCCAAATATAATTTTACTTAATTATACCACTCTGTTCTCAAAACAGAGAAATTGGTTAAAAAAAGCAAGCAAACCAAATTCATAAATACCATTTTGGAAGCAGCAGCTACACTAATGAATAAGTTACATGTCACAGATCAGCTTGTCAAAAATGGAGTTCAACAATTCACTCAGGTGAGAGCAAGACAGAGGAAAGATCAATAGAGTTTGGCAGTTGTCTTGCTGTAGGGCAGGGGTCCTCAACCTTGGCAACTTTAAGACTTGTAGACTTCAACTCCCAGAATTCCACAAGTCTTAAAGTTGCCAAGGTTGAGGACCCCTGCTGTAGGGTTTCTTGGAGATAACCTTGGAGAAACTATTTAGAGATATTACAACAAAAACATATGCAAAAATATGCACTAAGCCTAGGAAACAGAGAAACATTAACAAGAGACTCAGATAATCTCCTCCCTGACTTCCTGAGGTATAAGAGGGAGGGGAGGGAAGGGAAAACACATCAGGCCACATTATCCTGTTATCCTATTTAAATAAAATATAGTGCTAGTCATCTTTGGAATCTATTTCCCGATCTGGTCAACTTCAAAAGGCTGATGCTCTGACAAGCTATATCCCACCCACCCACCTCACCCCTCAGGAATTGAATTCCAAAAAGTTATAGCTGAGTCGGTGACAGCAGGGACAGCTACCAGAGCAGCAAACTCTCGCAAAGGTTGGTTTTGAATTCAATTGAGCTCTTTGCATTTCTGTGAGAATGAATGGATTTGGTGTGAGTTTTATTTGAGGAGTCTCAAACTTTAATTACCTTTAGGAACCTTTGGATCTAATCCTCTGTCTCCAGATTCCAGACAATCCACTAAGTGCATTTCATCAAACTTGAGTCTTATGGAGTCTTTGAGGCAAAATCCCATTGTATTGTGCCATCACTGTAAGGGTTGCCTTCTGCATCACGATCCCCATTCTGGTTAAGGAGTAGAACTAAATGCAGCCATTTTCTCTTTGCTCTCATTCTGGTAAGTTTACCAGAGGTAGCCTGAGTTATATTGCATAACAAACTAAAAATATAGCAAGAGCCCAGCTGCCATCTGATCAGTGTGTGTCCCACTGCTGCTGGTCTGTTCCTTCAGCTGAGCATGAGGTAGTAGATAATGGAATAGGCACAACAATCAATAACTTACATGCATAGATGGAATATCAAATCCAATCATTAAAACTACTCTTTTCCTGAAAAATATTTAGCAATCACTTCAACTTCTGATATGTATCTAAAAGCAGTAAGGGGTCAAGAGAAGTTAAATGGTCTCCTCTCCCAACGTCTTGTGTCGCAGTTTTAGATCAGATATCTCCCTCTCCTCTACCATTTAAGAAATATATTCTCCAGATGAAATCGAGCATGAAATGTGTAAATGTAAAAATGGTGGCCAAATATGCAATGGCTGGTAACACTAGTGAGTACCTGAAGTTTCCTTAGTGCTCAGGAAGGGGGAGGCAAATGAAAATAATTTAATACTCCCCTCTAATTAATTTTCATTTAGAAGAAGTCAGATATTTCCTGTAGTTAAGTAAGATGCAGAGTAGGTATGACAACCTCTAATCTAACCAGGCTGACTGAAAGGGTATATAAACATAGTGGCAGAGCAAATGCAGGCTATGCAGCTGCCTGAGACGAATGAAAAGTGCTTCAGGCAGCGTCAGGCCAAGCGTGACAGATGGAAGCAGAATGTCTTGTGGGATATGAAGAGGACAAGGCCAGGCAAATGTCCAGCTTGCCCTATGAGTGACAGAGAGTGGTTTGTTTGTACACATCTTTTGCCAGAGAAGACCTTGACCGTAGATTTATATTAGTTCCAAGCCATGGAGTCTTCTGAGCAAATAGTTCCCAGCTCATTAGCTAACTCTTTGTTGATGCCATTTTGACAGCCATGAGAACCTGCTAAAAAATGGGAGAAATCTGAGTGGAATCTGACATTCAGATCTTCTTCCCAAGAAATGATTGGCATCCTCCAAATGCACATCACTACCAATATGTTTTTAGATAATGCAGCACAGTTATCCTGCACAATCTTTAATACCAGATGCTGGAATGAGAGAAAATATAAAAATCTATTCAGATCCATCTTTATTCACCTACTTCTGGAACTTAAGAGCTAGACTCTTGTATTTCTCTGTGTCATGCCCTTGACTCCGGTTTGACAAATGAATAGATTTCCAACGCTCCCCCACAGTAGACACAACAGTGCATCGATCAAAGTGAGGGGAATAGGAAAAAGAATGATAGCTTGATCACCAGTGCTCCACGTCTTTCCTTGCTCTTTCAAAACAGACATTAGACACGTTTTTGTTTTTGAATGCAAAAAAAAAAACCCTACCCACAACAACCTACCAGGATTTAAGTGATCAGTTCAGACTGACTTCAGAGAAGGGCCTTCACACTTCAGTAATAAGGATGAGAAGGAGAGCAATCTTGGCACCCACTTCCCAAGCTTTCTAATCCCTTTTTCTCCAGAGGATTACCTAAAGTTAATTCTTCTGAAAGTAATGAATAACTCTCACTTTGATGGAAATTTAGTGGCTGGGCCGTTTTTCAAATTGTGAACATACATATATGCATATAAACATGCACATATTTCTATGCACCATTTTCAGTGTTACAGTTCTCAAGTAATCAGACCAAAAGGGCTTTAAATAATGGGTAGAAGACCTTTTCTCTGTTCTGAACTATATTTCCCAATGATACTCTGTCAGAGGCCACATTATGATGGCATCTGAGGTCAATTTTTCTCTCTTTCTCCCCTCCCACCTGCCTTTACACTCTCTTTTACTAATAATAGTCTTATTGTTTCTCCTTCCTTCTTCTTGAACACCCAATGTTTTGCTAGGAGAAGGATAACTTTTTGCATAGATCTGAACTGATAACTAGTAGAAAACCTTTTGGAATTAGAATATGGGACACAGACTGATGAGTCTTGCTTTAAAAACTGAGTGACTCCCAAAGTGCAATTACTTAAGTCCACATTTTTGTTTCTGAGATTCATGTATTACAGAGTACTTCAAGGTCCATGATGGGACCTAAGAATTGTGGCTCAAAAGAATAGTGCCCCCTAATTATTCTGTGCTGAGATCATCATGCGCTTGTATGTTTCCCTGCCTCTATCAGCAGCAATCATAAATATGGTGCAAGGAAATCCAAGATTGCAGTTCTGAGCAATTGCACTCTGTGGATGACAAGTGTGAGAAGAGGAGCAGAAAAAAATGACTAGAGCGAAGACAAGGAAGCTTGTTCTGAGCAAAATACATTTTTTAGAAAGGAGAGGCAAACAATACTGATGAGAAGAGAGCAACAATGGATGATCTCTTAGTAGTACCTGTTGGCTGCCGAGACCTTGCTTCTTTCAAGTAGTAAAGGGCCTTGTTGTAGTCTCCAAGGTGATAGAATGCTACTCCTGACCGGTAGAGTGCCTTGAAGTTCTCCCCTTCTTTCTTCAGTACTTTCAGGCAATATTCTTTGACCCGCTCATAGTTCACCAGCTCAGCTTGAAGTAGGCAGGCTACAAGAGAAAAAGGAACAGCAATTAGTATGGTGTAAGTCTATTTTAGAGAACCACTCTTTCAAAACCAACATAGAAAGGATGTGGAGTTAGATGAAAAGGAAACAACTTAGGAAATGGTATTCTCATTTAGCTGAGCATCAGATCCCATTTTCCAATCTCTAATCTCAGCAGAAATTGTCTACACTATAATTAGACATAAAGATGGCATGGATGGATGAGTATCCACTTGTTTGTTAGTTTTACAAATGAGCCAGGAATTCCCTATGCACCAGGAACAAAACTTTGCAAATGGATTTAAACTGCATGATTAAAATAATGCATACACATAAAAAGTATTGGAAAGTAATAAAAAACAGAATGCTGAGTTATATGGGGCATATTAAAAGATATTAGGATAAAGAGAAAATAATTTTATGAACACATAAATATGGATACTTGAACTGCAAGGCTACTTAACATGAAGTCATGCATAATACCTAATAATACTTTCTCTTTTAACTGTATACCTTTAACTCAACAACACTTGTGCTTTATTTTCTTACTCAAAGCCATTCACAACAATCTGTTTCCCTCTTCTGTTACAATCTGAAAAGATGCTCTGTAATTCCCACAAGATGGAAATTAGACACTTGTTCATTCAGAAGCTATGCATGTATACGGAATACGAAAAGTTGATATGTAACATTTGTGTACACAACTGCACATTCCTGTAAAAGTTATAAAGCTGCTACATAGTGCTTTGGATTGTTTAGAATATCTTCTTTATCTTTTTTACACTGCAAATGAAGGACTGAGACTAATGTATTTAAAAATATTTTGTAAAACCATGGGACAATATGTACTAGGACTTCCCACAACAGCCCCTTTGTCACTAAGGGATACATAACAACCACTGAAGATGTAAACTGACTATTATAAGCCCTGTGGTTATTTCAGAGCAGAATACCACTTACAGGTTCAGGGTAGTGACTCATTGACTGGACTGTGGCTGTATATAAAAAAATTTCTTTTGCTTGCATCATATCCTGGTATCTTCAATTTACAGAATGATAAGAAGACTGAAAACAGCTGCTGTCAGCATGGGGTCCACAGACAAAATCTAGCAACCTGGTCTGTTCTCTGACACCTTTTTGATGTTCTTTCTTGTCATGTGTTTGGCAAGTGATTCAGCTTTTCCTTATCATGCTTGTTTTTCTTTCACAAAAACGCTACACAAATTGTACCTTTCCTGAACTTGAAGCCACGTAATCACATCAGTTTTACAGATTTATACATGCACAGGCAAAGGTACATAGTTATTAAATGCTCTGTCCTGTGACCACAGTGAGAAATCTCCATGCCTGTATTTTGTGCCAGGTACAACATAGCAAGAATGGGCTAATTCTGCACTGCACCCTGTATATTTTTATATCACGTCAGTTCCAATAGAGACTCTTTTTCTTCTTCACAATGGCACTACTGTGACAAGGGCCATAGAATTCATTAGTTCAAAGCCAGAAATAGGATCCCTGCTCCTGCTTTTTCACAAGAGGGACTGTCTTTTCCAAGATGGAAAAAATTCCTGACCTCGAAGGGGAGATAGTACATAAGAAACCATGGATTTAAACAATTTGGTCCCCACCTTCATCATAATGTCAGTATTAGGTGGACTGCCTCTTCTCAGTTACATCTGCCCATGTCATCAGATCTGGCAGAACAGGTATGTTGCGGGTCCTGTCTGCCAAGGAGTCACATCTGGTGGGACCCTGGAGTCAGGCCTTTTCTGCTGTGGCACCTGTCCTGTGGGACATCATCCCCTCAAGATGAGGTTGGCTTCATCTCTGACAACCTCCCAGAAGTCCTTCAAAACCTTGTTATGTCAACAGGTTTGGGGATTGCAAGGGAATGAGGTGGCTCCATTGTTCATATTATCTGATGCTCTCTCCGAGCCTTTTAATATTAATTTTTGTACTTGAGTGTTTTATGTATAATATAAAACAATGAGTATATGTGTGTGTATGTGATGTGTGTATATGTGTGTATATGTATGATGGACCAGTGGACTAGGTGCATCTTCTCTCTCTCTCTCTCTCTCTCTCTCTCTCTCTCTCTCTCTCTCTCCCTCCCTCCCTCCCTCTCTCTTTCTCTCTCCCTCTCTCCCCTCTCTCCCCTCTTCCATCTCTCTCTCTCTCCCTCTCTCTCTCTCTCTCCCTCCCTCCCTCCCTCTCTCTTTCTCTCTCCCTCTCTCCCCTCTTCCATCTCTCTCTCTCTCTCTCTCTCTCTCTCTCTCTCTGGCCGAATGCAATAACAGCACACAGCTCAATGGAATTTCTGAAATGGACCCTGTCTCCAAGTCCTATCTGCGCTCATTGATCATGAAATGGGCCAACTCGCCATGGACCAACTCTCCATGGGCCAACTCACCGAGGGACAATTCAACAATTCAGTTTAATTATTTAAAATAATTTTAAAAATATTTTAATTTTTGTCATTCACATTTCATTTTGTCCCTCCTTTTGCATCCTTTCTTTAGTGATTCAGTTCCACCATTTCTTTGCTATTCCTGTAACTGCTATGGCTGGATTGTCCCGTGGCAAGTTGGCCGTGGCAAATTGTCTTAGACCTGAACAAGGAACGGGGTGGATCAAGTGCAGCCAGACGTGCTCTGACTCCTTTTCAGTAGCACAGGGAGTCCTCAACTTATGACCACAGTTCAGCCCAAAATTTCTAATTGCTGGGCAAGAAAGTTGTTAAATGAATTTTGCCCTGTTTTATGACCTTTCTTGCCACAGTCGTTAAGTGAATTACTGCAGTTAAGTTAGTAACATTGTTCTTAAGTGAATCTGGCTTCCCCCATTGATTTTGCTTATCAGAAGATCACAAAAGGTGATCAAAAGACCCTGGGACACTGCAACCGTCATAAATATGAATTAGTTGCCAAGCATCTGAATTTTGATCACATGACCATGGGGATGCTGCAGTGGTCATAAGTGTGAAAAATGGTCATAAGTCTTTTTTTTCCAATGCCGTCGTAACTTTGAACAGTCACTAAATGAACTTGTAAGTTGAGGACTACCTGTATACGCTTAGCAATATTTTCCTTCTCTATTATGATGCAGAATTGCAAAATCAAGTTTGATACACAATTGTCCCCTCGATCCGTTCATAATAGCCTGCAAAGTAGACATAAGATCTGCCTGGTCCAGCATCCTATTTCCCACAGTTCTCCCCCTGTACTCAAATTCATTGTCTAGCAATTTGTAGTCCAAACTATGCTGCCACTGATTCTGACATAATAGTGATCAGTCGCTATCAGTCATTGATTAAATTCCAGCATGCCCCCATTAAACCAATTGCACAACTTAGCCTTGAATTCAAGCCTTGTTGATTTCATGAATTACAGATACAATGGACATTAGCTGGATATCATCCATAGATGTTGTTGTTGTGAGCATCCGTGGAAATCAGTATCAGCTCTGTCCTGAAAGAAAGGCATGATTTTAGGGCGGATGCTGTTATGCCGCAAGAGGAAGTGGCTGCTGGTTACAGATGGTAATTTCAGATGGGGATGGGGATGGGGAAAGGGGTGTGACAAATAAAAGAAAGAAAATGGCTGAATGCTACGGCAAAATCTTTTCAACCATGGGGCCAGGTCACCCGAGTTCTGTTTTGAACATCGAAGAGTCATAGCCTGATTCTACATGCACTTGTCAGATGTGATGGAAATTTGTCACACATCACAAAGAGCACTAATGGGGATTTGTTCCCAATGCAAACAGCAGCCTAAAGCAGCAGATTTTCATCAGGACAGCTACAGAGCGGTAAAGGATTAAATTTTCCTTCTTGACTAATGCAGCCTCACCGACGATATTCCAAACAAATAAAAATCTGGGGACTGACATTTCCATTCGAAATACATCTTAAATTCAAAATACATCTTAAATGCACAAAGGCATAGAACACAATGTCTGCCCTTGGTCCTGAATTTATCCCCTGCCTCACAAAGAGATAGCAGAAGCAGAGTCAGCAGGGTTGACCCAGTCCAAAGAGAGATTTGCCAAGAAATGGCTATGCAAAGACCACACTATCCTTTTGCTCCTTTGCTTCCAGGTTCATAGAGTCAGTGGGACCAGGAGCTCCTCCCTGGATGAATATAGCTTTAGAGCAACGTTTCTCAACCTTGTCAACTTTTTCCCCAGCATGCTGGTTGGAGAAATCTGGGGGTTGAAGTCCACACAGCTAAAGGTTGCTGAGGTTGAAGGACACTGTTTTAGAGGGGAGTAGATATAATGAGATGAGGGGTGGAGAAAAAAAGAGATTTCAACCCATTAAAAAAGTTGCTGTTACCATTGGAAATTTGTTCCATTGCCTTCAAAAGCAATAAATTTTCCCCATTTTAAAAACATTCAGCTTGCTTCTCATGGAGCTTGAAATGGAGGCAGCCATTTCTTTCTGTTTTCCACCCCCATGTCTCTTCCTGTCTCCACACTTTCTTCTCGATAAGGTGCGAATCTGAAACTAAAATCCTTGACAGCCCTGCAAATGTAGTTCTATATTTATGTATCAATTAACAGGTACAATGGCATAAACAGCTGCCCTTTGCCCAAGAATTTTGCCCGGTACAGTCAGAGAACAACCTCTTTGTATAAGGTGGCCTGTCAGTGCCACAAAGAGACAAATTATGAAGAGTAAAAGACAGCAAAAGCATCTGCGGCCTTAACAATGGCAGGCTCACAAGAAGCTGCTTTATTCTGAAACAGAACATTGATGCACCTAGCACAGAATTATCTTTACACACTCTAGTGGGAGAAGAGTAATTGTCCATGCAAATACTCTGAATCCAAGCAGACTCGATGACATTTAATGTCACAGAAGTTCTGCAAGATTTCAGACAAAAGCGTTTCTCAGCATCACTTGCAGGCTCTAAACCAGGGGTCCTCAACCCCCGATCTGTGGACCGGTACCGGGCCGCAGCATGCCAGTAACTGGTCCACACAAACAAGGAAAGCCCTATCCACAGGATGCAGGCAGCACACAAAACCACGCCCCCTCTGGTCCACAGAAAAACCTCTCTCCACGTAACCGGTCCCTTGTGCCCAAAAGACTGGGAACCTCTGCTCTAAACAAACTGAATATGGACCTGTTTGTAATCAAAGCACATGATCAAGCACTGAGTTATAACTCCCTTTAGAGATTAGTATATCTTTATGATTAATCATTTAGCCCCAGCAACTTCATCAAATCTATTTTGTAAGTCATGGAAATTGTCCCTGGTGTCCATTACTATGTCAGAAGCATGTGGATCCCTGTAATGATTTTCAAGCTCAGTGTGAAATTCATTCGTTTGCAATAGTGGGCTCAGAGAACAAACCTTCACCCTCATTCATTCATTTCTCAAGCAAATTCTTCAGGTGTAGCAATTTATGAATACAGTCCTAATGGTCAACTTTGAAGTAGGGAAGTTTCATGTATTCATATGAAAGCTGTGTTACTTTACTGCTATGCTTTATGTGTCCTTTTTGTATGATTACTAGCAATGTTTCTAAGCTTACAGTAAAAATATCCTTTCTGCTACTGCTCCCACCCAAAAATTACTAATAGTGGAAATGACATCATTACATCTGTCTGTGAAGAAGTGCCCCATTTATACAAGTCTGCTCATATTTTTCCCCAGGTGCTCTCCATGATCTTATTTAGGGAGAAATTCTAAGCTTAAAGCCAGAATTTCATTAATTTATGCAGAACATAAATTCATCAAGTTTCTGAGGCCCAGTATGGCTAAGAGATAATATAATTAAGGTTTAAATATAATAAGTTAAATTGCAGAAAACTATTTGTAATTTTCTTCTCATATTTTTGAAAATTCATTTCAGGCTGGTTTTGGACTTGGTTAGTACTTGGACGGGAGGGAAAACCATAGCTGGAATGAGAAGTACAGTATTATTATTTTTTTTAAAAAAAGAGTAGTCAGTGGCTAGACATTTCTCTGTATTCATGGACAAATACCACTTTGATCAATATCTTCTGCACCTGCATCTACCTTCCTCTCCATTGTGATCAGAGATTGCTTCTTCTTTCTTGTGTTTGTTACTATTGTTGAATAAGTGGTTAAAAGCCTTGAAGGGTTTCCTCTTTTGTGCTGCCTACCTTTTCTTTTAATTTCCCCAGTAATCTTTGACCCAGGTTTTTCTTTTTCAAAAACTATATGCATGCTCTGAACCTCCAGTAGCATTTTCTTTTCATACCTGAATTATGCTTTTCCCCTTCATGAGTCATTCACTAACTGGGAAAGCTTATTCCGTGGTTTCCCCTTCTGTTCCTTCCCTATTGCTCTTTCTTAGCAAGCATCGCAAAAATCCTTCTGCCTTTTGTGGGCTCTCGGCAGAAACTGACCTTCCTGCTAAAGAGGCTTCTCCCCAGAGACACTCCCATCACTTCCTAAATTTGCTCTAGGAGGCTGGGAAGAGCCTCAGGAGCAGATCTGAAGGAGCATTTGGTGGACCAAGGATGGGAATTTCTTATTCAGTAGAAATGAGCAAGATTAATTATTGATTATTTTTACTAACTTTTACTAGCCGCCCAGAGTTGTTAAAATATGAGATGGGTGGCAAACAAATTTCATAAATAAATAAAATAATGCATAACATGGGTTTTTAAATGATACCCTTACAGTACTCTGAAGAGATTCCCAAATGGGGAACACAACTAAATAAAAACTTATACCACTGACAACTAACCTATTTTAAAAAATTGCGGTTCTTTGTTGCAATAAGCCAGAGGTCTTCAAACTTGGCCCTTTTATGACTTGTTGACTTCAACTCCCAGAATTCCTCAGCCAGGTAATACACTTTGCAGGTCTAATCTGGCCTTCAGAGGTTCCCTATCCGGCCCATAGCAAATTTGGGAGGTTTTTCTCCAACAACCTAAATAAAATGAAGGTATTTGTGATATTCTGCAGGTTGTCAGATTTTTTCTTATGGCTACAAACTAATCCTGTTCCTAGATTAGTTCATCTTTACTCTGTGCAGATAACTGTAAGTGATAATTAGATAAGTAATTCATTTTTTTCTGGAGTAGCATGGTTGGGAAAAAAATATCCCAAAGAATACCAACTGCTTGTTAATTTATTGCTGATGGAAGATGATGAAAAGACAGCCCCTTTGGAATAGCAAAAGACATATGTTTTATAGAAACTAATAAAGATATTGATAATCAATTCTGTGGATATTTGGTGTTCTAAAATATATTTTTATTGTTTTTAAAGAGACATTGGCGGCTAAAGATGAAACTACATGTATAAATGAGTATGGTGTTGTTGTTGTTTTGTTTGCTTGTTTGCAAAAATGCCTAGAGGATAAGCCATTCCAGTTAAAAGCAGCACTTTGAATTTTATCTATTGGAGCCAAATCAGCATTCACAAAACTGATACTATTTGGTACTGATGGCTCAAACATGGTAGGAGGTAGGCAACTGAATTCTGCACCAACTGTAGTTTCTAGATAGTTTTCAAATGCAGCCCCATGTAGAGCTCTTTGAAGTAGTCAATTCAGTAAGTAATGAAAGCATGAGTATCTGTTGTCAGGGATTGCACTGCAGGAAAAGCTATAACTATTTCATGAGCTGAAGCTGAGTAAAATCTCTTCTAGCCCTAACTTTACCTGTATATAACCACTCTATGAAGGAGATGGATGGCTCCTAAGTTTGATAAACAAATAAAAATATATAACTCTTGAGTCCATGAGAGCTCTGAGTCCAAGTGGGCCTGCTCCTTCAAGAGGAGGGTCTTTATCCAGAATTATCACTGGGAGAGACAAAGTTCGCCCAGAAACCTCCTTCTTGCAGAGACTTAATCTCAGTTGTTTTCCTTTCACCACAGCTGAAACCCATTGATGACCTTCCCAGTAGCTTTGTATAGATGTGAAATAACACCGGAAGTAAAGATTAACCCTGCCGCACCCACAAGTGGGCATCTGTTTGGGAGACTTCTCTTCCCCAATCATCACCAAGTGGCACTGCCTACTCAGGAAAGGGTAGAACAATTTTAGAACAGGGTTCCCTATACACTCTGCCCTTGCAATCAGAAGGGTACCATGGTGATGGCTGTAGAAGCCACCAAGAGGTCGAAATAGATGAGAAGGGAAGCATTCAGATCCCAGGATTGATCATTCACTAGATGACCAATACACTTTCCATCCCAGGCCCAAATCCAGATCCAGATAATCTGCTTCCTCTAGAGCAGGGACATCCATGGGCCAGTTTCATCATACCGAAGCCGCACCCACCCCATTGCCGGCAATGCAAAAAGAGTCATGATACATTGCGACACGTCATGTGACATGGCGAGTTTGACATCCGTGCTCTAGAGTCTAAGGTGACCTTGGAGTTCCACCATTCTGTCAAAATCTTTCCTCCTCTTTGTAATACAATAAAAACATCCTTTAATAAAGGGGAGATTATTTGTTGCCTTTGTAAAATAAATATAGTTAGATGAAACACTTTTTAAATATAGCTCAAATAATGCCCCACCTGAAGCATGAGGCAGACAGCCAAAGAGCATTTCCTGCTCCAGCTGGCTGTTCTCCAGGTCCCTTCCAATGGGCCAATTGGCTGTCTGAATTAAGACTTCCAAGGGAGACAGGTGGAAATAAATATGTGGTAGAGCAGAACTGTTTCTTCTGCCTAGCATTGACTCAGGTGGAATGGTCAATGGTTCTAAAGAGCCTAAAGACCATCTTTTCATTGTGAATGTACTTAATTGGGGTTGCAGTCAGGGGCCTCTGAATTTATATAGAATATAAATAGCTGCAATAAACAATGGATGTGCCATCCTTGCATGGATAGCAAGATTAGGGTCAGAAGGTATTTCTACACTGCAATCTATGCTGCAAATATTTTCAAGTGAACTTTGCATTTTCAAATAGTACTGGGATAACTAATTGGGGAGCTGAAGAAATAAAAACAAGAAACTCTTCTAGCCATTTGTCAGATTACCTCACGTACTGCATAGCCAAAGTCTGCTCAAGGAATGAGACTTTCTCAACTTCTGCTCCACATGGTCTGCAATCAGTGGTGGGATTCAAATATGGGAACAACCAGTTCTCTGTGTGGATGCTGTTTCTGGAAGTCCATTCTGGGCCTGGGCAACAAAAAATTAGCTACCGGTTCTGCCGAAGTGGTGCGAACTGGCTGAATCCCACCACTGTCTACAATATACCCACAAAATCAATCTTGGAGACTTGGGAAAAAGTTGCAGACCTCTATTTATATTAGAAATATGCCATTTACTTATTTGTTTGTTTACTACATTTTTATCCCACCTTTATTGCTTTATAAATAATTTAAGCTGACAAACATACACAACATTCCTCCTATTTTCTCTACAACAACCACTCTGTGAAGTGGGTTGGGCTGAGAGAGAGTGACTGGCCCAAAGTGACCCAGCCCTCATTTATGTGGCATTTGCTATGTGGCAGCAAGACTCCTCAATATGTGGCAGCAAGACTCCCAATTTAAGATGTTGGTGTTAAATCTTTAAATCATTTTTGAGTGGTCTAACTGGAAGACCACCTGCACTCATGTTTACCTGCCCAAATCTTAAGATCACTACCTGAATCGTTAGCACAACAGCAAAAAATGTACCATGTAAATGTTGGCACTGCATAATACGTTTAGTGGGGACGCAATGGCTCAGCGGTTAAAGACTCTGAGTTTGTCAAAGCTGACAGCTTGGGTTCAAACCCGAGCTCCCCAATTGTTTGTTCCAGCTCCCGCCAACTTAGCAGTTCGAAAGCATGCAAAGGTGAGTAGATAAATAGGTACCACTTTGGTGGGAAGGTATCAGCATTTCGTGCTCCTCAGCGTTTAGTTATGCTAGCCCAGGGGTAGGCAACCTCGGCTCTTTTATGACTCATGGACTTCAACTCCCAGAAGGCTAGTTCTCATGACATGGGTGAGAATGTTAAATGCATAGATTAACAGAATAACAGTATAATAAAATTAGAAGGGATCATGGAGGTCTTCTAGTCCAATCCCCTGTTCAAGGAGGAAATCCTACACCATTTCAGACAAATGATTGTCCAATCTCTTCTTAAAAACCTCCAGTGTTGGAGCATCCACAACTTCTGGATGCAAGTCATTCCACTGATTAATTGTTCTAATTGTCAGGAAATTTCTCCTTAGTTCTAGGCTTAACTAGAATTACCAATGGGAAGTGGTACAGGTAGTCTTTGACTTACAACAATTCGTTTAATGACCATTCAAAGTTACAACCGAAAAAAATGATTTATGACCCTTTTTCACACTTATGACCATTGCAGCATCCCCAGGGTCATATGATCAAAATTCAGGCACTTGGCAATTGACTCATATTTATGATGGTTGCAGTGTCCCAGGGTCACGTGATCACCTTTTGTGAGCTTCTGACAAGCACAGTCAATGGGGAAGCCAGATTCATTTAACAACCATGTTACTAACTTGACAACTGCATTGATTCATTTAACAATCGTGACAAGAAAGGTTGTAAAATGGGGCAAAACTCACTTAGCCACAGAAATTTTGGGCTCAGTTGCGGTGTAAGTTGAGGACTACCTACTGTATACTGGGTTGCTATTGTCCCAAACTCCACTTATCCATCTAAAGCTGTAAGAAAACCTACATACATGCACCTACAACTAATGCAATATGTTCAGATGCTGTTGAAGAGGGATATAAATCTACAGGTTGTTCCTCAAAGAAACCTTGAAAGTAGTCCTAAAACCTGATCCAAAATTTGGTGCTGAATTGTAATTTTTAAACCACCTGAGGGGAAAAGGGACTAAATATATGAGGAATACTAGTAATTGTATTTAATTCAACTAATATTAATTCAATTCAACTTAAATCAAAATTTAGATTTTGGCCCTTTCAGTGGCTCAGTTCAGCTTTCAGCCTGAAGATTGCTTACTTCTATTTTAAATTTTCCATCAGCTGGGAAGAGTCAACAGTAGAGTTATTTAGGCAGATTTTAACAGAATGAATCAGATTTAAATGAATTGACATAGCAAGCTGGATCCAGATTTGGGTACATGCTATGTTTATAGAAGTGTCTTCTCCTTTCCCCATGGTGGGAGAGGATCCTGAAAAAACCCTACAGGATCCTGAAAAAAACCCTACAAAACATTAGGTGCCGCTTCCCAGGTCCTTGGAAGCTTTCAAGGATCTGCTCTTTACCTTCAGTGTATTTAATAGAATCCCTCCCTACCTATATAGAATTTCCAGAAATAGTTTTAGGGACCTAGAAAAAGTCAAATCTCCTTCCACAGTCCAGTTGCATGAAACTAAATGTAAATTCATGGTTTACAGTCCTCAAGTCAGGATGCAACTTTCAGCCATATAGGATGCAAAAGCTTTCTTGACTTTAAGCACAACTACTGCAATATGAACATAAGAGTACAGAAGGGGAAGAGGCTTAAAATAACTTGTAGATGTTTGGCAAGAAAAGGCTGATGTCCTCTTTGTTTACTATACTCTAGAGATCTACACAGATTGTGTCTTGGGAGTAACACTGCAAGTGATTCTGCTGAGTGTTGTTTTCCAATCATTTCAGTAAGTAAACAAACAGCTTTTCACAAAGACACCACAAAGCACCAGTATTTTTTTCTCTGATGGAAATGTTATCTAGAAATGTTGGTCCGAGTATTATAGCATATGAGACAAAAAATCCACTACATAGTAGCAGTAGCTGATTATTATTGAATAGTTGCTTTACTCTACCAAGTCTGTCCATTTCAATTTTATTTTTAATGTGTGCCATTGGGTACCCAGAAAAAGTGATAATAAATGTTATCTTATCTGTCTTATCTTAAAGTGTGAATGCCATCATTAGCCTGTTTTGCAAATTAAATAATCACCTGTAAGTAAGTCAGCTGTCCAGTATCACCACAATGATAGAATCATGCATAGAACATATCAACCACAGTTTGGACAAGCTGAAAAAGTCACTTTTGTTGGAGATATGGCAATTAGGAAAAAAATTATATCATTGCTCTCCCTTTAGGAAATTGACACTGTATGAGCCATTGCAAATGACTATTAATAAAACCTGCTGTCTGAAGATATACCTTTTATCTCATCATCTTCCAGAATCATTCCTCTATCCTTCTTCCTATTTTTTGTTCTTTAATCAAAATAGGTATCTTGCCAGTAATAAGAGGACCTCAGCTGAAAACATCATGAGTGATGAACAGAAGCAAGTTGTCAAAGCTGCTTGAGGAAATGCTGCTGGTTTGGTATGAAATGGTCTTACATTTTGGAAAATCTTACGACTATGACACTTTGATAGAAATGGAAACATGTTGTAGGATCTAGGACTCTATCCATTATCTCAACTTTAGCATTACTAATCCTAGAAAGGCCTAAGGAGGTTGCAGCATCTGCCTGACCTTGGCTAATATTATTAGAGACCTCCAAGAAACACATGACTATAGTCTAGACTGGGAAGGCAGTGATGGCAAACCATTTTCATACTGTTGCCAAGAAAACAACTTGGATATGTCCATAAAACCCCTGAGTTGAGGTCAAGTAGCAGAAGACCATTTTTAATCCTAGAAATGGAATGGTTTTCTCCCATTAAGCAGACTGAAAACTCCGTAAGGCCATATTTGATAGAAGTGACTTAGGTAGAACCTCCATTTTAATTCCAGAATTTCTTAGCTGCTCAGAGTTGGGCTTTTACTCTAGTTTTACCCAGATACATGTACATGCAGTTGACTTTGCATTGCAAATTATTTAATGAGAGACATATCTTTAGATGCAATTGTAAAAAAAAAAAGATATGTAGACTTTACAATCTACTAGGAATACTATCCTCCTGTGCAACGTGAAGATGAACTACAATAAGCTCTTGATTTCACTTTTACAATTTCTACTCTGCATGAAAATCCCGTTTCACATCTAGGCAGTGTGATAATTATGAACCAAGCCACCCCATGATGATGCTGGATAATGGAAGAATAGTTAATTATAGCCTTCTAATTCTTATAGAATCTAGTTATTGCAGTAAAAGAACATTTATGTGGATTGCCTCTGATTCCTATCCACAAAAGGGATCCTGCTCCAGGTTTACATAAGACTGAAGGGAAAAGCTGGAGACCTCATCTTAGTGCTAAAAAGCCCAAAGCCCTTTATCTTTAAAAGAAGAAAGTCTTATGGCAGCTTAAATACATTTATTACTGCCTTGCAGACAAGATATAACACTGATATTTTTGCATGATTTTTTTGGGTGAACATAGTTTGTTATGCTTACACATAGTAAACTGCACCCCAGTTACTCAACCCAATTCTCTAGGTTCACACAACACAGTGAACCATACACTAACCACATGGGCTTATGACTTTTGTGGGGAAAAATTAATAACATCAGTTTTCTTAAGAGAACTAATAGAGATTTAAAATGCAAGAATCCAGAAAGGGGTTGGAAGATACTTATTACCATGTGGATTATAGATCAAAATTTAGAGCATGCCAGCTGAGGAATTCTGTTGAAGTCCACAAGCCTTAAGGTTGTCAAGGCTGGACATCCCTGATTTAGAGGGTTTCTGCCTCACTTTACTCCAGATGTGTAGTATTTGGGGATGTTTCTGTCAAGAAGAGGATGAAATTTATCATTTCACTCTGAGGGTGGCCATAAAGCTTAACGAATGAATTACAATTGATTAAGTTTAATTTCCAGATTAATTTTCCATGCCGCAAAGATATGAATCAGCCTCCAGCATCCTCTTTCTCAGAAAGCCTCCGTGTCCAAATGGGCCTCAAATGGGCACCATATATATTAGTGGCTTTATCTGTGCAGAAATAGGATAGGAGGGAGTGTTCTGTGGAAGGTGGGCTAGAATAGTGCAGGTGG